AGCTAAAACCTTCCTGTTCATCCAGGTTTTTAGCTGAGGGTTTTTACTGAGTTGTTTTAATATATTTTTAGTCTTTTAAAATTGTATTTGATTGTATGTTTTATAAATGTAAGCCAACTTGTAAAGACATAAGGGTTGATTGTGTAGGACAAAATTATTATTAATAAATGAATAAATATGTCCCTTGATTTCACAGTCAATCCCAATTTCTCATTTTCAGATTTTAGTGATGACATCATACCATTGTTGCCGAAGGTTCTCGTGATCTGATAATAGGTTCCTCATATACTTTTCTGTATGCAGACGACGGACCAAGTACTGCAGGATTTACGAAGTCTATTAATGCATAGAATTCTTGCAGGTCATTTTGTATTGGAGTACCTTGGCAGACACAAATATAATCAAATATGAATTTACATCCTCTCCGAAAAGTACCATTTCCTGAATTAAGTTAAATTTTATTCATTGCAATGCAAAAGAATCACAAAATCTGAACATACAAATAGCCATTCACAAAAGTCTGTTTTTAATATACCAATAAAAACCAATTAAAAAAAAAAGCCTGACAGTTTTTCCAACTGGACGTTGTCTGTCATATAAATTCATCATTACATGTGAAAAGTGTCATGAAAAAGCCACACTCCAGTGCTATGAACCATTTCTAAACAACTGGGGTAGCTTCTTATGTTGGACGTCAGTCCTACTTGTTTGTTCATTTTAAACAATCTCCCATTCAACAGGTCAGATGTCACATCTACTGGGAAGCCAGTGGCAAAATGGCAGACTGTCCAGAGACAGTCTTGTATCAAAGCCAGGGTCTAAACAGAAAGTCAGAAAAAAGCAGGAGGTGGGTCTGGAAAACTAAAACTATAACACAAAAAGGTCAGGATAAACAGGAAGTTACATAGCAGCCAGATATGAACAAGATTCCTTAAACCAGGCCAGATTGTTGGTTCATCTAGCTCAGTATTATCTAGAGCAGACAGTCCTGTGTAGGCTGTAGGCAGTGGCCCCCAAGATCTCAGGTAAAGAACATCTCAACATCTGCTACCTGAAATCCCTTTACTGGAAATGCCAGGGACTGAGTCTGGGACCTTCTGCATGCAAAGCTCTATTATTTAGCCATGATCCTGCCAAAAAACCCTGAATAAATTTTCACTGGCTGTGATCCACTTTATCAGCAGCAAGTTATTCTTCCTCGAATTGAGTAGGAAATAGCTCTGGCATACCCAGCTGCCAGCATTATTCAGGCATTCCTCCAAGGCTGGCAGAGCTACTAGCACTGGCAGGACAATAGATGCATAGCAGCATGTCATCAACATTCTACAGAAGCAGCAGAGGCTGAAATAGGCTGTGTTTCTCCTCTGATATCCAAGGAAGAGTAATTCAATATCAGGGAACATTTTATAGGGCACAGAAAAAGGATGTTCATTAGCAGAACCAAGAGAGTGAAAATTGCTACAGAATTATCTCAACCTCAAAAATTCTTAATACTGCTATGCCCTTGATTTAATTTAGAATTAGATTAACATTTTGCCTTCTCTTTGACAGGAGCTTAACTCAACATTTTCTTGATTCTTTGGGACTGATAATTAACAATGTGATATTTCACAACCTCAAAATTTGCCTTTAAAGAGATACTTGTGGCTGGCGCCTCCTGATTCTTACCATAGCGAGGTAAGAAGGTCAACCTATAGAACAGGCCATGTGACCCATTACTATGGAACACACAAGAGTACAATTAAGAAGATTAAAACTGGCAATAGAATAATAAGTAGGAACCACAGACGGGAGGGGTTAAACGTCAGTGAGAGTGTGTTTTTTTACTCTACTTGTTGTGGCTTGTTTCTGTTCTTGATTTTAGTTTGTGAGTTGATCAACTGGCCCACCTGTTGACATGTGAAAGATTTCCTAAGTATTCACCTGTAAGAATAATTCTTCTTCCACAAGATAGGCTGGCAATGGCAGTGGTGGTCTTAATGGAGGTGTTTTTCAGACGGTGCCCCTCATCACAGATTATGAGACTGAACTCCGTCTTCTGAATTTGGTCCAAGGAGCGTAGAAGCATCTCATAACTAATAACCAGGACTGGATAAAGGGGAGAACTGATGAACTCTTCCACCTTGTGATCCTGAAGATAGTAAGGAGAACTATCAAACTCTGTGGATCACGGAGGACAACAGTTGAAATAAATTAGTGATTGTGTATGTATAGACACACAAATGTTCCCACTCTTATAGAGAGTCACATACACTCCACAGAAACAGATATGCCATATATTTCACAAGCTCTTCATAGTACGGGCACTGTTGCAATTTTACTGCCCTCCATTCCTCCACCAACTGGGGTAATCCATCAATATTATGGGAGGAGACTGAGAGAATGGACTGAAGCAAGACCACAGCAGGAAGCACAAGCGGGCAAGGTTGGATATAAATCGAAATTAATACATAAATAAATTCCTATACCAGTGCTCTTGTGCCCATTCTCACACCCCTTCATACCCCTTCCCTACA